GCTCCTCTCAAAAAAGGATCGGTTTAAAAACAGTCTGATTACGGCTATGTTTCCGTAAATTCCGGCCACTTAGAGCTCTTCATCTGTTTCTTAGTGTTTTGTCCTGAAAGTGCTTTTTTGTTTCCTGTCTCTCCTCCGCAAAGGCTCCCGCGAGGCATTCCAATAAATTTAGCAATAATATTTAAAAAAGGCAAGCACCTGCTGGACGGTGGAAAGAGCGGGAAAAATAGGGTTAGCGGGAGCCCCTAGTTCTTTTCCCTTCCTATCGTCCCTCGCGCACTTTCTTTTTTCCCCCTTGGCTTGGTACACTTTGGTACGTAAACACTCGCTGCGAAGCAAAATGGACCAGTCAGAGAGCCGCTTTGGAACAATGCCTAACAACTGCTGTTCCCAGTCTCCCAAGGATATAAAGAGGCCTCTGCGGATTATAGGGAGTGGTTTCCCTGTGAAAGGCTAATATTGGAGGCCTTCCTAATAAGACAAGTATTTGAGAAACTTTTCAATGCTTTTCCTTCTCTCACTACAGTGCCGATGATCGCCTCGTGTTAAAATCCTCGTCTGGTTATTCAACTAATGTTAAAGTACGTCACAATGGTAACCAAACATGGCGGGCTCATATCATCTACAAGAGCATGTGCAATATCAACGTCAAGTATTTCCCGTTTGATGAGCAGATATGTAAATTAGTATTCGCCTCTTGGTCACAAGACGTCAGTGTCCTTGACTTGAGAGCGAGGCGCGTTGCTAAGAAAGAAGAAGGGTCAGACGTGTTCCAGGAAAACGAGGAATGGACCGTCGAGTGGATCAATATTGAGCGTAGCGAGGTTTGTACATGTTCACATTCAAATATATCGTATGACATTGGCTGACTTAGCCTGTATGGGAGTTTAAAGGGCGAATCACTTACGCCACGTTGCCATGGTAACAAAATTTTTGGAGCGCAACAAAGCTTCAAACTTCATTGCTTTTATTTAACTTCATTCAATTCGTCAAGTGTTGACGAAATTTTCTGGGTTTGAATCCGAAAGAAGAACTGTATTTAAGTTTAGAAAAAGGAAATTGCTTGTATTCATGAACTCCACTGACCGGACGCTTGAAATTAGGAAGTTTCATGTCGTAGTCGTGCAACGACGGCTAAGAGATGTACAAAAAAGCGTGATGCACGTGCAAAGTAGTATTTTGCTAATGGAAACCTCTGCCGTTCTCGTTCCCTGTTGTTGTTAACCAGAAATTTTGCCGCCATGGTAACGTGACTTCACACTTCTCCCTCTATTGAGCTAAGTTGTACAACTACCAGATTTACTTGAATAAACACTGCGGCGCTTAGTAAAAAGTTTTAGGGTCTCTGATCGATGATGCGGCTTTTATTTCTAAACTCTGTGATGTTGAAAATTACGTCAAATCATTTGTAAATATTGTGAAAAACAGAAAGGTGCTGAAAGTTCCAAAGTCTCCCCCTTTCTGCTAATATACTCGTATTGTAGATTACCAAGTTGTGACGAGTTTATTTTTTTGCCATAACCCTCGAATAAACGCTGCATATCTTTGTTTGGATAAGGCGTTCATCCGAGGGCGGAAGTTAATTGAGTAACGTTAAATGAAGCTCAGGGTTGGCGAGAGAGGGAAAAGGAAGGATTCCCTTCGCTCCCTTAATTTCACGTTCATCGCGTGTGCTCGCGCCTTTATTTCCTTCCGATAAACGCTTGCCACGCAGGCCATAAACTGCTAAAACAGAGTTTGAAATTAAACACTTACATTATCACCGTTACGGTAGTATCTTGAGTGATCAAGTAAGGCCCATGATCCAGGCTTCCTAAACACAATACTTTAATAATAATAAAAAAAAAACAGCACAGTCCTTTAATAATCACAGTATTTAAAGTTCACGTAGGATACAGTAGAACCTCGATAACTCGAACGCGGATAACTAGTGCTCGTTCCTTTCCCTTGATCAAAATTTTACTGAAATTTACCCAGATAACTCGAATTCTCCGCTATCTCGAACTGTTTTTCGTTTCCCCTCCGAGTACAGTTCGAGTTACTGGGGTTCTAATGTATTTCTCTATTGTGCTTAAGTTTAATTTGGTGCATTGCCACTTTGCAAACAGTTCATTCGTAATTTCGCTTTTATCTTCTTGTTAGTGTGCCGAGCCTAAAATTTCATGAAAAAATTTCCGCTGAAGATTTAGCGTGCAAACATCTTCATAGCTGAGGTAGGACTTTTTCAGATTGTATCGGTTTTTCTGACCTGTACTGTTTTCAATTTTCTTTTTATTGTAGAAGGAAAATGACTGCTGTGATTTACCCGTGGCGGAATTAACCGTATCCATGCTTCTCCAGAGACGCACGTATTATTACGTCATGAGCCTTATCTTGCCTTGCACACTCATAGCTTGCACCATTTTCTTGGAGTTCATTCTTCCAGCAGAGTCAGGCGAACGAGTAGGCCTGGGCATAACTATTTTGCTCTCGATGGCTGTATTTCAAGAACTTACGTCAGAGAAGTTGCCTTCAAGCTCCGAGCATTTTCCTCTGTTAGGTAAGTGCCCTGTAATGCTTACATAAAATTCGTGCGCACTTTTTGGCATGGCGCTATTTTTCTTCCGTATTTGGTGAACTCCCTTCTGCCGAAGGGATCCAAGAGCCATAATGGGACTAGAAGAGAAGATGTTTGTGATATCCAGTTAAATGACGTCAATAGTGCAGGGTACCACCGCGGTCAAACGTCTAAATCGTTATTTTTGTTTTTTATTGCTGGGATTTCATTTACCAGTTAGAGAAAAATGGGCAAAGATGTATAAATCAGTTAGTCAACATAACTATCTTTCCATTTTTCTCAAAATTTTGAGCTTTTTTCGCTGAAAACGCTTCGCGCTAAAAGAGAATCATGTTTGAAAATGGCGCCGATAATAACGTCAGCATCAGTTTTCAATCACTTAGAACTTTTTTAGTAAACTTTTAAAAAGTTTAGTAAACTAACAGGATGTTGGTAATACCCTAAACTTTCGATAGTGAAAGTAGCAAGCTTGACTTTGAAGTATTTCGCTTAACTTTTGCAAATTTCACTCGTTTGACCGCTGTGAAGTGCAGGGTATGGGAAGAGCTAAGGCAGGGCAACCGTGAAGTCCTAGGGACAAGGTTGCGTTAGCTCAGTTGTTTTGGTAGAGCTGGCGAATAATGGCGGAAAAATTAACACGTTCTGCACTAAGAAGAAATAGCCGACCTACTGCCGCCTAAAAGCATAACAAGAATTAGTAAAAATACAAATCGAAGGATGACAACTGGTGTTTGAAGAATATCTGCAAGACTTTTTAAAAGCATCCCTTGATATTCCTGAATTTTTCGAGGAACAGGCCAATGGAGACGGGAACTTAACTTTTATTTAGTTTGTTTTAAAAGTATGAATTATTTCCAATTAAAAATTATTACTGAGATTCTGCTGTCGAACTATCTCCATAATTCTTCAGTACATGCTCAGCTTCATCCATTAACTTCACGTTATCCGAAAGGCTGTTTCTGAATAATCAGGACATTAAACTTAAGGTCCCGGAGCTTATAGGAGGTTTTCATCTTAAGACACAAAGAGCCCTGTTTGGGCGATCACACAACCAATAGGAAGTGACAGATGACCGTAGATTATTCCAAATTTATTTTTGCGACAAGTCGTTCGGTGCAAAGGCGAGGCCGAAAGGGCGATGGGACATAATTTGCCTACAGAAGAAGAGCGTCATTATTCGATAGGGGCGTTAATTCGAGAGATCGTTGAGTATTGATTTTTGGTATTCTAATAATCCCTAATACGTTTCTCTTTCCTTATAGCCATGTACTACTCAGTTTCAATCATGGAAATAGGAACGGCCCTGGGAGCCACTTGTATCATACTCAACTTTCATCACCGCAACACTAAGATGCCGAACTGGTTTCACAAGATCGTTCTTGAGTGGCTGGCAAAGCTGGTCTGGTATAAGCCCCGTTACCTCCACTGTCACCTCACCACCGAATCAGAAGATGAAACTGTACAAACAAAGCTTCAAACCAACTCAGGCCCTGAGAGGAAACGAAACGACGCTTTCGACCTCGACAGGGAATCTATCGAGTTTGAAATGGACCTTTTTGATGAATCTCGCGGGGGACGCGATCAGGTGCCCCTGGCTCAAAATGGGAACCTTTCTGTTCCGGCGAATAACGGTACTAGGAAACGCTCGATTAGACGGAAAACGCAAGACACTGAGACCGAGACAAGTGAAGTGCAGTTTCCTGAAACAAGGTTTCCTTTTTATGACGTTAACAAAGAAGAAATCTATAAGAAACAGTGGCAAGATGCAGCGAGAATTTTAGATCGATTTTTGCTTGTGGCCTCATTTGTTATCGGTTCCATCTCAGCTATGAGTATTTTCTTGCAGTCTCCGCGAATAAGAGGACTGTTTATTCCCTGACAAAAGGCCTGAAGTAGTTGTTTCGAGACACTCAGTCATAACGTCTTGTCTGATCTGGTTATGAAACACATCTTGAATGTGATGGTTAGTGTTGTAGCTTTGGCCATGGACCCTGTTGGCAATGTTGTATCCATTTTAAACAACAGAGCAAGCAGTACGTATAAGCGGGCAAAGACAAACAAATTGCCAGAAATGTTTGCACAAAGTAAAATTAAGCTGCCGGAAATATTCGCCCTCTGCCTGGGGACACGCAATTACATTTACACAACTTTATGTCGACTCATGTTGGAACTGGAAAAAGTGTCGTTGTCATGTTGATAACTGAACTTGTTACACAATCGTTTACAAGCTGATGAAACATAGAATTATCCACAAACTGATGAAGCTATGAGGCCGCGCCAATGAATCACATAAATATCGGTGGATATTCATTAAAAAACCTTTCTGGCCTTATCAATGGGAAGTTTAGTCAATCGTTCACGGCCTTTCTTTTTCTTGTGCAAGGAAAAGGAGAGATATCACCTCTCAAGTTCCTTGTTTCCAGATAACTCTGTTACATCAGACTTAAAAATCAAACTTAAGACTGAAATGAGATTAATGGGTTTCCTTGGGTTTTTCTAGCCTGTACAAAACCCCACAATTTCCAGTCAAAAGGATATCATGCATTCACCGTATTTTAGAACCTTAGTAGGATACACACTTCTGTGATCTGGGATTTCCAGACCAAAGTTGATTCCTCTAATACTGGACAGTGAAGTCATAATCCTGTCATAGTTTAGTAGTCCAGTCCATAGTCAACTGCATCTAGCTTTCTCACTGATATGTCGCGTGAAGTCATATCGACAGATTTTGCCGAGTGCACAGCGATCTGGACAATTATGGCAGACAAGTGCACCTAGGAGACCTAACAGTCTGATTTGGCAACTAAATAATTTAACACAAGAGAGAATATTGATTAACAATATCTTTTTTCATAGGAAGACACTTTTATCGAATTCTGATAGGCGTGAAACTTAAGCAGCACCATTCCCTAGATTAACCAGGTTTATACTAAGGAGCCGAAAAAAAAAATGTTTGCGTGTTGAATAAGATAAATAAGATAAATAGTTTATTAGATTCCTAGCAAAGCCCTCAGGCGTAAAAAAAGATATGTGCACGTAGCTGCTAAATAAATTTTAAGGCTTTAACTTTATAGGTGTCAAGTGCCTTTAGGGGCAATAAGTTAAAACAAGAGAGTTATAAAACCTCTCTTGGTCAAAATTATGTGAGACATCTAGGTTAAAAACTTGTCGTAAAAGTTCCTGCTTCCTTTTTTACTCGCTATGATGTGGTTTTTATTTTGACACGAACAATTTCCTCCCCTTGCGACAAAAATACGCTTTTCCTAAGAAAATATAACTAATTAATCAGAAAATACAGAATCGATGCGACATTTTTCGACGCTAGTGCAATTTCGATTCATCATTACCCCCACGACAACCCCCCGTTCTCCAACGAGGACAATGCAGCCAAAATATGGCATATGAGCCTGCGATCAAGCTCTCCCTCCCTCCCTTTAACTCAAGCTCCCAAGCTCTTTCCCTCAGAGAATTGTACGAAGAAAACGACGATATGACCCCGGGTGCTTCACCATGTATAATGGCCTACCAGGGAGGCTCCGCCAGATAGGGGTAACTTTTTTCAGGCTTCAGGTACATGAAAGGGGTGGAGATTTCACAAATTGAGGTCAAATATGAAAGGATATGGAAAACATTGTGTATTTACAGCTGTTTAAAGGGATACTAAGTTCTATTACTGTGTGAAACGGGATTTTTTTGGCAACAGAGGGTCATGATGTCCGAAAGGGCTTCAGGTGTCGAGCATCTAAGTACCGGATTGCCTAGCAAGAATGTTCTCAAGAAATCTTCGGCTTTCGGTCTGTAGTCTCTTCATTTGATTCAGTGGATTATAAGCAGTAAGCGGCCAACTACCAATCAATTTAGAAGGGGCACAAGAATAAAGAATAAAATAAAGAAGCTAGAGAATGTACATGATCCCCGGTTGGCGGGGTGCTCAACAAAATTTCATTAAGACTCCATTAATGGTAATCGGCTCCTGGCTCCTTCCATTCCTTTGATTAACTGCTGTGAACGCACCGTCTTTTAAATATAAATTTCTAAATCAGGTAGTTTTCTTGTCTTTTTCACAGCCATAAAATGCGACTGTTAGCCCTTTTAAGTTCTTTTAGTAAAGACCGCAATGAGAGATTTTCCATCCTTACTTTAACTAGTGAAATCCCTACTCCATCATACACTGCATACCAGAAACGTGAAAAAGGTACCCCTTTCGGGCGGAGCTTCCCAGCATGGGCTACTATAGAGTACTGACCCCACCCCCCCCCCCCCCCGGGGATATGATCGCAGGCTAGAACGACCGAGTGATCTTCTGTGATTTAATCCGTGATTATTAAAACAACCTCCAGGGAAAAGCGCCCAGGGCGGGAAGAGGTTGTTATTTAAAGAGGACTTCAAAACAAAGACGCACACAGTACCAAACCCGGTGGTATACATGTATAGTAAGTAGTTTCGAGTGCGCACACCCTTGCCATGATCACCTAGTGAGACAGTGAAAAGCATAACATCAACTGTACAGACATCAAACGGGCAAAACGAAGGAACAAAGACTTTGAGAGATACGATAACACTTTATTTCAACTTTATTTGTACTTTTTAATTGAAAGTTAATTACTTTCCTGCAAAAATAATCGCAAACGTACGTCTGCTAGGCATGTTTCGTATTCAATACAAACGCCATTATTGAATTCTATTACCCAGATTCCCAACTCGCATAGTATGTTTGCGCCACCTGTGGTCAGAAAGGTACGAGCTTGGGCTGCCTGTGGTAAAACTGTGACCTCATGTTTGTCGTTTCTGTTACTATTTTTATTAGTTTTTCAAGTACACAGATGAGGACCAAAGGTTAAAATAACAGGTTGGTCACATGAAAGCTTCTTTCGAAACCCTCGAGAACAAATCTTTTTTTTCCGTTTTGATATGTTTTGGATTTATAGTAGACTGCAAAACAGTCCGTATTTAAGACTCTTACGCCACGCTTTACCGATTTCTTTACTGATTTTGAGAAAAAAAAACCGACTGTTTTGCAGTCTAGATTTATAGTAATTTGGCACGTTCACGTTTAAGCGAGTCTTACCTAAATGACATTGACTAGTCGTGAGAAGTGATAAATATTGGCAGCAAAGCATGGTTTATCAGTCATTCTGCCATTTTGGCTACATCCTATCCTACTTCTGGTTTACATAAAAATGTTAGAAAGATAAGTTCGTTTACAGTTGTGCGGCTACATACGAGTATTCAGTTTTGCACGCAGTTGCGTGCATGTGCCTTCACCGCATCCAGTCGTCGTATGCGCCGAGTTTAGTCACGTACAAAAACACGTCTTTTTGCACGACTTTTTTCTCGAAGGTCTTATGACACCCTTGATCCTTAAAAGCCGCCGCATAAAATTACATGTATACTATCCACACCCACGCGACCCACGCGGCTGTGCACGTGCCCTTACGAGAATTTTCTCTTTAATTTGCATCACTGTGATAGCCGATTGGGGTAATCATCTCCTGTTTTTTTTTCTTTTTTTTTTTTGGAGTTAGCTGGTTTAATCTAATACGAAAGCATAATTCTGTATTTCCCTAGAAAATAAATGCAGATACACTCGACTCTAGCCAAGTTTCCAAAAATTGAAATGTGCCAACTGTTGTTGTCACGAACAAAAATATGCATGACGTTTCTCTTTGGCCTTCGGGCGTCGTTATGGTAACTCAGGTTTTTTCCCAGCATGCAACCAGCGTTCTTTCTCTTCAACACCCTTCTGAGAAGTTGGTGTGCGGTTTGAGGAAAAGCGACACTAATCATGGTCAAAACATGTTGTTCTTTTAAAAGCATCCGTTGCTTTTCGAGGGGATAACTTAGAATCGCTTTTTCTATCAAAAGACGTTTCCTCAAGAAGCTACACTGAAATCTGCAGGCTTAAAATACAGCACGTCCGGCAGACACACCCGTTCAAATTCGCCATATTTATTTGCAATCTACAACAACCTTGCAGCGAAAATATTGATCAAATACAAAGTTGGGAGTAAGCTTCTTTGGGAAACAACGACAGACAATTTCTTCTTTCGAGAAAGAACGATTGGGAGCGATGTCAAGATAGCAGTGAGTTCTCAAGAAGTTAGGTTTGCATCTGTGTAGTTCGTCAAGTGGCGCGCTAAAGTTCGCGTGGTCAACGGAGTAGCTGATTCAAGAATCAACTTCATCAGAGGCCTCAACGATGAGCTCTCGCACTGGAAAGCACTTTAGGAATGAGAAGGATCTAATAATTCACGACAAAACTGGAAGGGTAAGTTATTATCTTGGTATTGTGTTCGCTGGTTCGTTTCTCGTACCTTCGGTGACTCCACGAGATTCATTCAAAAGTTGTAAGCTTAAGCTTGAATTTACAAATCCTTTGTGAAAGCTTGCCATTCACTCGTATATGCGTTTTTTTATTTGCAGATTTTGATATCCTGGAATCGCTTTGCAAGATCTCTTAAAGAAGCTTTTGAACTATATTGGGAAACGAAACAGGTATGAAGGCGCGCAGAGCGAGAGAGTGAAACTGTTTTTATCATTAGATGATTTTACGATTTAACTCTGGAAGTTTATCTGCTACAACTTTTCAGCGTTTTTGTTCGTGGTGACTACTTTAGTGTACGTTGTACAAATATATGTTTGTTTCGCGCCTTCACAGGGCAAGATATAGATTTTTTATGGTTTAGATTTCAATCGAATTCATTCGTTAGTATCTTGTCGATTGTAAAGTCCTTTGTATTTGTCAACGATGCGTAAAATTTATTCAGCTTTCTCTTGAATAATTGATAACTTGTGGCTTTTAGTTTTCTCTATCCTAATATTTCAGTCACAAGCGCTAGTTGTAATCTTAAATAGCAGAGTTAGGAAATTCATCACGTTGTCGCTACATAAGCTTATATAATTTCGCAATGTTGTGTTTTGCGCAACGCATGGTTGCTTGCGGAAAACGGTAGGTGGCACAGAACTGGAGGCAATTTTCATTAACAATGAAATGAAAACATGGACTTTGATACTTACCCACAGTTTTTTTTGTAAAATATCGTTTAGAAACAGTGAACTGCTATTTGAAGTCGTTTATTTTCGAATTTTCAAGAGATCTCTAACAATAAATTGGGTGATGCTTGCTGTTTGAAAGTGAATCAACCTACAGCTCTCTTTCGACCATTATTCCTCACGTCTATATCACTGTTTGCACAACAAGAACTTTGATTTTGGTTAGGAAATTTTCTTGTTTATTTTTTTTCTTTTTAAAATAAACTAATCATTCTTGTTTACTTACCCTTGTGGGCATCCATGAGAGCATTTGGTGTAAAACCTCTTTATAGTGACATAATAACAGGGTATAAGTGGAGTTGGCCCACATCCAGTCTGGATTTGTTCTTCTTGGGAGATCAGGTGTTCCACCTGTCACAGTGTTAATCACTGGACTGTCGCGAAGTGTTTTATGAAATGTTCAAGTCTGAGTGAACTTATACCCTGATGCAGAAAGTTTTCTTATCTATCCTGTCTTATATCTCCATAAAAAATTGTGTAGACTTTTATTGAAATAAGAATCAAAATGTCTCTTGACAATAACATGTTTAACAGAAAAGAAATGAACTTTTACATGTCACCTTTTTAATGCAGGGCATCTACCGTAATCACATAGTTTTTAACCTCCTTTCCCAAATAGACCTTCTTTTTAGTATATCTACATGTATCAGTTGTATTTGTTTCTATGCTAGTACTCATGCAATTTTCTTTCTAATGCTTGTTGATTGTTCTTTTCTATTTGTGCTGATGTGTCGCACTCTGACCTGTCGTGCCTCAAGAATCAAAGTTATATGCAAAATTCCTAGAAGATACATGCAGTTCAATCTCTTCCTTTCCCAACAATTACTGCAGGCCACCTCACTACAAATGTGATGAGAGGATTCTTTGGGTTAAAAAAAACTTTGCATTGCAATCTTTTAAAATTTAAACAATTAAGTACTTAATTATTCCCCTCCCTTGTGGGATTTTTCAGGGAATAAATGAAACAAATGCAGCTGTACATGTAATTCTAATGGAACATAACAAAGT